TCTAGGATATTTGGTTACAGTAGGACAAGTAAAGTTACTTTTATACCAAACTCTAGGATATTTAGTAACAGTAGGACAATTAAAGTTACATTTATACCAAACTCTAGGATATTTAGTTACAGTAGGACAATTAAAGTTACGTTTATGCCAAACTCTAGGATATTTAGCTACAGTAGGACAAGTAAAGTTACTTTTATACCAAACCCTAGGATATTTAGTAACAGTAGGATAATTAAAGTTACTTTTATGCCAAACTCTAGGATATTTAGCTACAGCAAGACAATTAAAGTTACGTTATACCAAACTCTAGAATATTTAGCTACAGTAGGACAATTAAAGTTACTTTATACCAAACTCTAGGATATTTCGTTACAGTAGGACAAGTAAAGTTATTTGTATACCAAACTCTAGGATATTTAGTTACAGTAGGACAAGTAAAGTTACATTTATACCAAACTCTAGAATATTTAGTTACAGTAGGACAATTAAAGTTACCTTTATACCAAACTCTAGGATATTTAGTTACAGTGACAAGTAAAGTTACTTTTATATCAAACTCTAGGATATTTGGTTACAGTAGGACAAGTAAAGTTACTTTTATACCAAACTCTAGGATATTTAGTAACAGTAGGACAATTAAAGTTACATTTATACCAAACTCTAGGATATTTAGTTACAGTAGAACAATTAAAGTTACGTTTATGCCAAACTCTAGGATATTTAGCTACAGTAGGACAAGTAAAGTTACTTTTATACCAAACCCTAGGATATTTAGTAACAGTAGGATAATTAAAGTTACTTTTATGCCAAACTCTAGGATATTTAGCTACAGTAAGACAATTAAAGTTACGTTATACCAAACTCTAGGATATTTAGTTACAGTAGGACAATTGAAGTTACTTTTATGCCAAACTCTAGGATATTTAGTAACAGTGGGACAATCAAAGTTACTTTTATGCCAAACTCTAGGATATTTAGTTACATTAGGACAAGTAAAGTTTCTGTTATACCAAACTCTAGGATATTAAGTTACAGTAGGACAAGTAAAGTTACTTTTATATCAAACTCTAGGATATTTAGTTACAGTAGGACAAGTGAAGTTACTTTTATACCAAACTCTAGGACATTTAGTTACAGTAGGACAAGTAAAGTTACTTTTATACCAAACTCTAGGATATTTAGTTACAGTAGGACAAGTAAAGTTACTATTATACCAAACTCTAGGATATTTAGTAAGAGTAGGACAATTAAAGTTACTTTTATACCAAACTCTAGGATATTTAAAGAATGACACTAGTTGTCACCTCATTACGAATCTCTTTATCTGTTGTTTGACAATTAGGTCAAATCCCTACCAAAGTATATGATAATGATATACGGTATGAATATAATGTGGATCTTCAGTAGGCAAATGTTATTGCGTTTTGCAATGAGGTGGCCATTATTGTCACACTGTAGAAAATATCATAGTGCTTGGTTGTGAAGTGACCATAATTATTGTACAGCAGATGAATATGCTAGAGTTTGGTATTGAGGTGACCATTGTTGTCATACTGTAGGAAATATCCTACAGTTTAGTAGTGAGGTGACCATCACAACCAAACCCTATGACAAACGTGTCTTCTTTAACATTCAATTTCGTTACAAAAAAAGGCAGGCTGTTTGAATGGTTTTTTTATTCTTTCCTTGTTGCCGACTTCTTGTTTGCACTTTGACTTCCGATTTCCTCTTTTTTGTTGACACTGCAGAATTGTTTTCCTCAACTTTATATTAATGACAGAAGAAAACAGATGTAGAACAACTTCAGTCGTGTTTTAATTATCAAAAGTGATACAAAATGTGAGTACATACGTTTTTCAAAACATATGCAAAGAGTTCAGTTATGAAAAGAGAGCAGACATTGAGCAAAATGTAATCGGGTATTACACATAAAACTTTATCATTTTGATAAGTTCGTATTCTACTTGTTTAGTCAAAAACATTGTGTAGTAAAGATTTAAAACATCAATAAGGTAACGATACAAAATAGAAGACAATATCCAATCCATTATCACGGACCAATATGTGGTCAGAGCTGAGGTTATTTTAATAAAATAGCATGGTTCATTTAAATAGTTTCTCCCTTATCTAAACCACCTAAAATGCTCATTTTAGTTATCAAAAAGCTACCTCGTCTGTTTCAATGTAAACGTCGTTGTACTTTGTCGGGATCAAATGCTGTTCCGCAAATAAGCAGCTTCTTAGTACAAACATGTGACACTAACATTAAATGACACACGTGAATGCGGTATCTACTATTATATATCAAAATTGGGTTCCTTAGGTTTTGAGACGAACACTGATTTATCTCTTGTCCGTATCATTGTCCATGTACGTAGTTCTTTAACCTGAAAATCGGAGTTGTAATGCTCGACATTGGGTTCTACTATGCAAATGTGATGAGAATGGTGTATAAATCCGCTTCCTACAGACGAATATAAATAACGTACTTTCAAGGGAGGCTGTCAAACAGTGAAGCTGTCAGTTACAAATGGATGCATGACAGAAGTAAAACAAAACTGTTCAAATGTTTATAAAAATTAAATAAAAACATTTTTTTAACTACATGTTTTCTTATTTCTGTTCACTACACGATGCCATAGAGTGTTCAAGATACATTTGTTTATTCCCTGTAAGTGTAAACTTGACTGTCGTGTTGTCTCCTCGGATACGGTATGGTAACCAATAGGAACCGTCAATACATCCGTAGGGAACCGTGTTGTTGTTTGTTCACTTTTTCGCATCAATCCTACACCATAAACAACAGTTAATTGTTTTCGACAGTTTATGTCGAAATAAAGGGGGATGGGGTGGGTGGGTGATATTTAATAAACAATCCATCTATTCCTATCACAGACCATGTCAGCCTTTATGATGACGTCATCCATTGTTGTCACAGACCACGAAGACATTTATGATGACGTCATCCATTGTTGTCACAGACCACGAAACCTTGATGATGACGTCATCCATTTTTGTTGAGGACTATGCAGGCGTTGTTAGTGACATCGTCAATTGCTGTCAAAATACCTCGATCAAAAAATGGTCACCAGAAATGTGAAGCGTTGTCCTTCAGTCAAAGTTTAAGCATCAGGCGACGTACACGGTCCGCTCACGTGAATCCATCCACTTGTGTACAGAAATGTATTGTCCACCATAGGTATCTCTTACGATCTGTATCTGTGATATGTCGAAAATATAGATTCTTTGTTAAAACAGTTCTTGTATCCGTAAAACGTTTAAGTAAAACCATGCGCATTGGCTGCCAGTGAGAAATTACCATTGATTAGGATAAGCAGACTATTCGATAACTAAACAGTTACCAGAACTGTGCACCAGTATATAAACATAACGTATTGTTCGATATAAAAACAAACTAGATATTTGTTTATAAAAGCAATTTAAATTTCAACACAGAAGAATGGCATAACGAATTGACATTTAAAAAACGTTAAGCAGCACTTATATCTATAATTTTATCAATAATTTTCAACATGTTTTACATGGTCCATAACTTTCGCGAATTGACTTCAAAAGGGAAAGAAAATAAATAAATAATGAAATATTAGTGAAATTAGTACATAGTCTGTGACTTTTTAAACCAAACCAAGCAATAAACGATTATACTATGTGAAAACGATCGTAATATTTTTATGAAATAGACCGTTATCATATGTGATATAAATTTCACTCATGAGTGAAAATAGTACTTGTATGTCAATAAACCGTAGTTGCATAAACCGTTCTGATGTGACATTAATCGTACTTATATTATTAACCATATGTAAATGTTAACTGTACTGTTTTATCGAATTAACCGTACATAAATGTGATATTAACTGTACTGATTTATCATATTAACCGTACATAAATGTGATATTAACTGTACCGACATAGCATATTAACCGTACATAAATGTGATATTAACTGTACTGATATAGCATATCAACCGTACATAAATATGATATTAACTGTACTGATTTATCATATTAACCGTACATAAATGTGATATTAACTGTACTGATATAGCATATTAACCGTACATCAATGTGATATTAACTGTACTGATATATCATATCAACCGAACATAAATGTGATATTAACTGTACTGATATAGCATATCAACCGTACATAAATGTGATATTAACTTTCACTTTTAAAAATTATGTATATTATGTTGTTTATAAATGTTTGCTTTGATGAATTAGCCCTCATTACGTAGGACAAAAAAGGCGAAAACTACACTTCATCGAAAATTCCACGATACACAGTATTCTTTTTATAATCTTTAGTTAAAAATCAAAAGAAGATCATACATTGATGATAGTGTGTAATGCGGATGATGATGACAATGACAATATGTTGATATCGATGAGGATGACGATGATGTGATGACGATGATGTAAGATGAGGGTGTATGATGATGATGATGATGATAATATTCTACTGGTTACATTGATGCCTTTTCTGGGTTTGAGTGTGTAGATGACGATACTGATGATGATGATGATGATGATGATGATGATGAAATCAGGTGAAGGATGAGATGATGACTAAGTGTTATTTTGAAATGTGTGGATGATAGTGTGAGAGAATGTGCTATTTTTTTGTACATGTAATATACAATTGTGATTTTTTTTATTAAAAAAATCAAAAATCAAAAAAAACAACATAGGAAGATTGGAATAACATTGCCATTATCAATTTAGATAAGTTAACTGGATTTTAATTGTTTTGAAGCTAATTAAGACATATTATCAGCGTTCAGATTCGAAAAAGGATGCATTTATTTGCACAACAAACTGGATTCCTCTATCGAGCGAAGGAAGATAACCCTTATCACTGTACCTGAAGTAATTTCGTTACAGCTAATTTCATCATTTTAAAGTAAAAATCAATTGGAACACCGGGTTTTCAGCAGAAATGATTCATTTGTCTGTCTTCTATTATTAAATTAATCCTTAGAATACGGAAAAAATAATGCTCACGGAGGAAAGACGCCACGGGGGACTGTTACCGCTATTATGTCCCACCACCACTCGTGTTAGACTCCCGACGTCTGTAAAGGAGCCCTGAACATAAAATAATGTCATTGTATAAAAAATATTTATTCCATACGTGTTCAGGTCTTCCTTGAGAGAAAATCTCTATAACTATCGGAATAACGTTCATACAGTCTAACGCTGTACACGTAATTATAAGGTTATAGGAAGAGAGTCCTAGTGATACGAATACAACTTCAAAAACAATAGCGCTTACAACAATAAAACACAAAATACAATCCATTAAACAGTAAATACTATAGGTCAGCATAAATACAGTCCATACAAACAGGGACAATGACCGCTGTACGGTTACATAAATACAGTCTATAAAACCAGGGACAGTTACCGCTATACGGTAGCATAAATACAGTCCATAAAAACCGTTACAGTGACCGCTATACGGTAGCATAAATACAGTCCATACAGACCGTGACAGTGACCGCTATACGGTAACATGAATACAGTCCATACAAACTGTTACAGTGACCGCTATACGGTAACATGAATACAGTCCATAAAAACAGGAACAGTTACCGCTATACGGTAACATGAATACAGTCCATACAAACTGTTACAGTGACCGCTGTACGGTAACATAAATACAGTCCATACAAACTGCTACAGTGACCGCTATATTGTCACATGAATACAGTCCATACAAACTGTTACAGTGACCGCTGTACGGTAACATAAATACAGTCCATACAAACTGTTACAGTGACCGCTGTACGGTAACATAAATACAGTCCATACAAACTGTTACAGTGACCGCTGTACGGTAACATAAATACAGTCCATACAAACTGTTACAGTGACCGCTATATTGTCACATGAATACAGTACATACAAACAGTAACCGCTATATGTCAGCATGAATTAAAAACAGTTACAGTGACCGCTAAACGGTAACATGTATATAGTCCATATAAACAGTTACAGTGACCTCTATATGGTAACATAAATACAGTCCATACAAACTGATACAGTGACCGCTATATTGTAACATGTATATAGTCCAAACAAACATTTACAGTAACCGCTATATGGTAACATGAATACAGTCCATAAAACAGTAACCGCTATATGTCAGCATGAATTAAAAACAGTTACAGTGACCGCTGATCGGTAACATGTATATAGTCCAAACAAACATTTACAGTGTCTGCTATATGGTAACATAAATACAATACATACAAACATTTACAGTGTCTGCTATACGGTAACATAAATACAATACATACAAACATCTACAGTGACCGCTATATGGTTACATAAATACAATACATACAAACATTTACAGTAACCGCTATATGGTAACATAAATACAGTATGTATATATTTCATTATAAGTGATAGTTACTGTAAATGTTTGTGTTGTTCCGCGTGGAAAGTTGATGTTGAAGTCAATACGTGTGGTTCCGTAACGTCCTGTGAGTACCACATACACATCTCTGCCTTTACCCACGTCCTTCTTATCTGAAGTCCTCACGTTGAATGTGTACATGACTTTGACGGGAAAACCTGGAAATCGGAGGAAATGATATGTTAATCGACATCTTGATGAAATAATATATCAAAAGAAGCAATCTTTATTAAACATAAGTAGAATTATATACAATCACACTGTCTTTATAGTCTTTATTAAACAATTATTTGCAATTTCAAAGGTTAATAACACAAGGAAAATAGAAGACTTCGGTTTTGTTGATTACTAAATGAATGAAATATTATAACAGTTACCTCCCTTCCTATATGATGGAACACGGAATGTTCTTTGATGTAGCTCTATATTATTGATCGATAAAATATGTTGAGATGAAATAATCATAGGTAACAATACAAGGCGAGATGTTGATTCTCCAGAATTATGATACCTAAAGCCCCCAGTCAAATTAACTGATTACATAACCATTGTTGTGTAACTGTCGGTAAATAGTTTTATTCAATATGGCGGCTTATACAAACAGCAGAAGGTAGTCAAATAGTGTCGACTTCAAGACTGAAAATCACGTGTGTAAGAAACGTGATCTGGGAAAGGAAATATACCTTAAATGTACAAAAACTACTAGCTTCCTTCATTTTACCTCATTTTCTATCAGAAATATTTGCATAACTTTCAGAAATGTTGCTGTAGCGTAGCCCGAGGGGAGGCAAGGCGGGACATAAGGTCTAAAGTAGTAAATCGCAGTAAAGGACTCTGTGAACTCCTATGATATTGATGAGTCATTATAATCCAAACTAAGCAATCAAGCTTTCGAAGTCGGTCTTTTGGCTCTGCCAATACAACATCCACGGTACTGAGTTGCCAGTAGCTCAATTGACTCCCCACATTCGCATACTTAGATCGGCAACAAAGCAAGACAAGCAGCATAAACCTCATCGGTCGGGGTATACTTGGCAATCTCATACATCGTACCACCGCATACGACTTTACATATCAAGAAATCTTTTGAAAACGAAAAAAAATATTTCCACCAATGAAAGAGCCTATACCATCTTAGGAATTCTACATGTGGAGGAAGAGTCCTTCCTCACAAAAATCTTTCCCTATTTAGGTGGAGGAAGAGGTCTATAAAATAAGCATTTTCTCTGATGAGCCTTGACCTATTAAGGTATAAGAAGACGTTTTCAAAAGGAGCCTTTCCTTGGAGGAGTTTTTCTCTATTTATAATCATAATACGCTAACAGACCTCCAGGACATGACAATGTAAAGAGGTAAATTTGAACAGTTGTACACGGTTTGTTAAGGTCAGAAACTTGTTGTCATGTTTGATCTTCCTTCTTTTCACCATCTACTGAAAAATCAAAGTTCTCAATGTAGGTGGATACATACTAGACAATGTCATTTAGAGAGGAGGTGGATATATCAACCTCTCGGAATTCCTTCATCAAGAGAGATACAATCTAGGCACATCTCAGTACTCCTTAACCTCGCTAGGTGTCAATGATGTGTAACGACTACCGATGATGTTTCGACTGCTTACCGGTATATACGTTGGTACCAATACAAAAGGAGGCCTAAACATTTCATCAGGTTGTTAAGTATGGTTTATGAAAAGTTCTTTTTACACAACCAATACAATTGTCTATGTGACGTTTCGATGACTAGCACGATATGCACACCGACACCTTCATCAGTAGGTGACAGTGTCACAAACGAAAAATCATCCTTTTTCGGTACGCATATAACAATAATTGTACATACGCTTACAGCGTAGCCGAATCAACACCGATTTTGTGGACAACTCGTTCACATGTTACACCTTTGTGTGCAAACGCTTCACTGGTCATTAGACTGATGAAGGTGACAGTGTACATATCGTACTAGTCATCGAAACGTCACATAGAAAATATTATTGGTTGTGTAAAAAGAACTTTTCATAAAACAACAGGAGGCCGTGAAACATTTTAATAACATTAAAATTGGTCATATTCTTACAAATTCCTGTCCGTATACATATTACGCTAAGCGTGTCGACATCTACTATTATTTTCTGTGAAGAAATTTCGAAGATGCTTGTTCAAAGTATATTACCAGAATCGAATTGAATTGACATATTCACATCGGGAAATCATGTCCGTGTAGGCAAATTGGGTATCTGGCATACGGTTTGCAAATAATACTATATGGTGTATTTAGCATGAATAAAGAAATCTAGTCTACAAAACGCCAAAGGGGTTTTAAATAAATCGCTTTTGATTACGCCACTAAAATGAGACAGATGGTCGTTTGAATCAAATGATAGACGGTTCAAACATTCAATATCGCCATCCCCGGGTTTCTTAATAAGCTATGCCTTTAATTTATTCCTGTACAGATAGACGTTATAGATTCTGTTTTGTTTGTTGTACATGTTTTTCCATAAGCTATTATAAAGGTGTGATATCCGAGGGGGTCACAATAGGTTCGATGACAGCACAGCTTTGTCTAAACCCTCCATAGACAAACCAGTGTTTCTGTTGTTTATATACCTTTATTGGGTACATTTCCTCCGATCACACTTATTTAATGCTCAAAACATATATTATCATATGCGGTATTTGCAAATCGTTTGTCCGATTTGTAGTTGTTTAAGGACGGCCATTCTGTCCCCATGTTTTAATATTGTGTCTTGAAGCTGTGCTCTGTGAACAAGCATGGTCAAATATATTTCGGAGTAAAAGTTTGGTTTACAACTATTCCCGAAAGAAACTGACGGGGAATGAGAGGTGTATGTAACGATAGCATATTTCTAAGTACATATTTTGGTTTTGTCAGATAGGGTTAAAACAACATGCTTTATAGGTTTGAAATGGAAGCTTACCTTTTTGTTGTCTGTTTCATCCGCCATGTATTAAATCGACCATTCCCTGACCAGTACACGACATTAATATCATCATAGAAAGTATGTCGACAATGTCTTCATTTCTGTTACAGAATTTTGTGTATATCTACAATGTCAGAAACTTACAGCTCATGTCAATGTGACCTGACCACGCCCCTCCCAACTTGCACGTCAGTGTGTCCTCCGACCCGCCTCTGTTGATGTAGTCACTGTTACAGGTATAGATAGCGACTCCTCCCACCTGTAATGACGTCACTTCCGAAGTTCCATCCTTTAAAGTTTCCGGAGGTGGACATGCTTTATAAAAAATAAAGCAACAAAATCATCTACAATAACAATGTATTTGAAGCATACTTATTTTTCGAGCTATGGATAAATTAATTCTTGATATCATGTTTCATATTCAACATATCATCTTATTGAATTATATTGAATAGCACGCCATATCTAATTTATCAATTACAAAATGAAATCATATCGAATCTAAATTTACATTACACTGAAAAACACCCAATATTGAATGCATCTCGACAGCCATGTATCATTCTGTTGTAGTTTCGGTAAGGAAGTAATGTTTTTGAGTGTTACGGGCCAACGGAAACATTAGTAATCTATTCATACATGTAGCACCACTTAACTTCACCTTTGATATTACGACCTGAAAAGAAGGAAAATACGATGTGTGAGTGTTATGGGCCCATAGAAGTTGGGCTATTGAGCGGAAACTCTTTTTAAATTATAACTACAGTGACCTTGATTTACCACTGACCATTAATTGTAGCTGAAAAGCAATCTCAGCCAAATAGATCTGGCAACGAAACAGTGTATGAAGTTTACGTGTTTTCAGTCAACGGGAACTTGTTGTTGCTCGTAAACTAATGTTCTACTTACTGTACCAACGACCTTGATCTTTGAATTTTTATTCTAAAAGCAATTCTAAGTAAACAATTGCCGTAAAGCATCAATGTATGGCGTTTTATTTTGATTAGCCTTTGAGAACTAAGTAATTTAGTGGAAACCAAGTTTCTATTTATTGCCGTACTTGGAACCGTAATATGGGGCCGTAAACACACGAACCAATCAGCCACATGACTCAAGCTAAGAACCGTAAACACACGAACCCATCAGTTAAATGACTCAAGCATGGAACCGTACACACACGAACCCATCAGTCAAATGACTCAAGCACGAAACTGTAAACACACGAACCCTTCAGTAAAATAACTCAAGCGTAGCACCGTACACACGAACTCATCAGTCATGAAACTGTGAACAAACGAACCCATCAGTCAAATGACTCAATCATGAAACCGTATACGAACAAGCCCATCAGTAAAATAACTCTAGCATAGAACCGTAAACACACGAACCCATCAGTCGAATGACTCAACCATGAAACCGTATACAAACGAGCCCATCAATAAAATAACTCAAGCATGGAACCGTACACATACAAACCCATCAGCAAATGACTCAAGCATGGAACCGTAAACACACGAACCCATCAGTAAAATAACTTATGCATGGAACCGTACACACACGAACCCATCAGCAAATGACTCAAGCATGAAACCGTATACAAACGAACCCATCAGTCGAATGACTCAAGCATGGAACCGTAAGCACACGAACCAATCAGTCGAATGACTCGAGCATGGAACCGTAAGCACACGAACCCATCAGTCGAATGACTCAAGCATGAAACTGTGAACAAACGAACACATCAGGCAAATGACTCAACAATGAAACTGTGAACAAACGAACCCATCAGTAAAATAACTCAAACATGGAACTGTAAACACACGAACCCATCAGTCAAATGACTCAAGCGTGGAACTGTAATCAGTAAAATAATTCTAGCATGGAACCGTAAACACACGAACCCATCAGTCAAATGACTCAAGCATTGAACCGTAGACACACGAACCCATCAGTCAAATGACTCAAGCGGGGACAGCAGATACAATTGTAGATAGTGTTTTCCCCACTCGTTCAGGCTTCGTTGGCAAGATATATCATCAAACAAAATATCTGTTATGTTAAAAGTATCTTCGTTTAAGGTGATATTTCTCATTTCCGAAAAATATTACCTCCATTATCCTTTTTAAAAGTTGAGTCGTCTTTGTGGTACGTTAAAGGAACAAGATGTTAAGCTAACAAGGCCAAATATTTTCAGAAACAAATATTAGGTTTACATTATCTGCATATCTTACCAAATAAAGAATCTAAAGTGGCATTAAACATGTATCGCGTATCCGTTGATATGACAGAGATGAGATACATATATCAAAAAATAACCAAGGGCAGGTCCACGGCTGTGTATATAAAAGATTTAATTATTAACGAGATCACCTCGATGGTTGGCAGGAAACATAATCAGGATTCAATAAAACAGAGCAATGTAAGAACAGACAGAAAAATGCTGGGGAGGGGGTAAACTTTATTATAGTTTATATATGGAAATCACATTTTGGACCAACATTTGTTTAATTTCCATTGTAAGTAATTCAATTTAGACCCAGATATGGTAGAATAGAATACTCTTCATAGATAGAAGGGTCTTAAGGTGCTTTACCAAAATTGTAAATTTCCCGACCCTGGGGTCTCACGTATCCCCCTGGGGAGGGTGTAAACTTTATTATAGTTTATATAGGGATATTACATTTTGGACCAACATTTGTTTAATTTCATTTGGAAGTAATTCAACTTCGGTTAGCATTATTAGTATTGGATAACAGTTTGATGGTATGCACATAACAGCCCTGACTGATCCCTAGAGGCTGATGGGCATCAAAAAAGTCATCTATAAACTAACGCATTTATGATATATAACCTACATGATAAGCGTGATAAGAGATGCTGTATTGCTCACATTCAAAGGTATTCTTCACCTGTCTAACCCTTATCGGGTACCGAGTACACTCTACAGCACGATGTTATCAGTGATCGCTAATAGGTATTTTATGGAAATTAATTGCCGCCGGCTTAAAAAGACGAGTGTGTCTGGTGAAACGTTTTATGAAGGTTTGTTTTTACCATGGTTGAGGGCGAAGCCCACATATTCGTCTTTATCAGCCAAAAGATCAATCGGATTTACCGAGCTTTGTACAAAAAAAATGACCGTAGATATGCAATATTTCTTGTTAGGTACCCTTGAGTCGAATGCACATGTCCGGTATCTTTCTTATGCTGTTGGGTAAAATTGTCTTTCCTTTAAACTTATTCGAGTTTTTAGACTATTATGGGGAAGTTTGTACATATGGTTGCTAACATGCTGCTTCCCCATCATCCCCAATTCTTGTTTTGTTCAACTAACGTATATTTCCCTGTTTTTGCTTGTTCGTTTGTTGTTGGGTTTTTTTACTCTTCGTCTTGTATGAATTGTTTGGCTTGGTTTATAGACCAATATTTACACTTGCATGGCAATGTCACTATATAGCCTCTTTGAAAGCTGTGTCGTTGATGGGACTTTAATTACCATGCAGCACGAGACATAATTCTTAGCGTATTAATACAACACTGACCGGAACTACAATACCCAATATAAATAAACATGACGGCTGCTGAAATATCGATAGGCATTGTGAGATTTAACAATGTCATTATAAATTTATGGGCAAAATACAAAATAAAATAAAATATACTTTTATTACAACAAAAACAAGACCAAGGTCTGCAATATAGTACAAAATGCACATCGGTTGAAATCACCAATGCCGGCAATGGAAACAATTTTAACGCTCATGAAATTTATCAAAAATATCTTCTGTTACACTGCACTGATCAACAGGGGTTCGTTACAAATGTCTGAAATACACATATTTTATAGACCTACTGACACATATGTTACAGACCTAATGATTTGAGTCACACCACACGTAAACATTTCAGACATTTGAAATGAACCCCTATGCTCTGGCCGCATGATCACTCACTTCAAACGCTATCAGTTTCACGCGTCTCGCAGCAACTGTTTCCTCAGTTTCTGACGACATGTCAAATAACGACGCTGTTATAGAATCTACAGACTGTAGTCAGATTCCCATACAATCAACAAATAAATTAACGACTGGATTCTTCACAAAATGAGCAAAGACAAAAGTTCGAATTAACTTCCAAAAATAACTCCCTCGTGCGCTTAATTTGTTCCGGGGAAAAATCGAAACAATTTCAAATCTAACTTTCAGCTCAGAGTTCTATTGACAAACTTAAATCTCCTTATAGACCTATCATACGCAATTGTATTGATACTGAATTGTGGAATAACATTGAAGTGTTTGTTAAAATTTCAAAGTACTTCCTTGTTTGCCAATCAGCACGCGACAAACACGCTATTCAAACTATTGAACGAAATTGTTAGGACTGTCGATAAGGCGGGCATTTTAAATGTCAAATATGAATTATAAGTTAAAAAAAGAACATAAGAGGCAAAAAAAACCCGTAAATATAAGTATTGAACTGTTTTTGTATGGTATTTATGATCTATTTGAATGACACAGCTTTGCAAGCAAACAGCATAATGCGCGCTAGCGCATTATGAGTTGATTGCTTGCAAAGCTGTGTCATTCAAATAGATCATAAATACCATACAAAAACAGTTCAATGCTTAATTAATCTGGTGACCACATCGCTGAAGTGAGCTTTAATGTGCTCTTTCTGATTGTGCACTTCCTTATGCTATCTTTCTTGTTGAGCAGTGTTTGCACAACGCCAAGCTTCCGATAATTTCCAGATATTATCCCCATACCTTCTCCAAAATATTGGCTGTTCTACAACTCGGCCAGTGTGGCAAAACCTTATCGACAGGATTTTGTGCTCATTCTATAAAGATTGACTATGAAACAAGATGGTTTTGAAATGCAACAGCAAAATGTTAAACCTATTGTGAAGAAATACATAAATAACATTTTATTTATTTGATAAAATTGTGATACTAACAAGGCATCATATTTACATTTGTGTTCTTTGAATTACATTATTCTTAATCTTTGATAGATCCAATTATTTTTTTCTGAACATTTCTCCCTTTTTTTGTTATAAAAATATTTTATATTTATTTGTTTCTTTAAGAAAGCTACATATATATTTCAGAATTGAATGGTTCACTGTATTTGGCGTGAAGATTTAGTAATACTACTAACCTATCTCTGATGTAACACTGTACTTGACGTGATGGATGATTTAGTAATACTACTTGCCTATCTCTGATGTAACACTGTATTTGGCGTGATGAATGATTTAGTAATACTATACTAACCTATCTCTGATGTAACACTGTATCTGGCGTGATGGATGATTTAGTAATACTACTAACCTATCTCTGATGTAACACTGTATTTGGCTTAATGGATGATTTAGTAATACTATACTAACCTATCTCTGATGAAACACTATATTTGGCGTGATGATTTAGTAATACTATTAACCTATCTCTGATGTAACACTGTATTTGGCGTAATGGATGATTTAGTAATACTATACTAACCTATCTCTGATGAAAAATATATTTGGCGTGACGATTTAGTAATACTACTAACCTATCTCTGATGTAACACTGTATTTGACGTAATACTAACCTATCTCTGATGTAACACTGTATTTGGCGTGATGATTAAGTAATACTACTAACCTATCTCTGATGTAACACTGTATTTGGCGTGATGATTTAGTAATCTCTGATGTAACACTGTATTTGGTGTGACGATTTAGTATTACTACTGTCCTATCTCTGATGTAACACTGTATCTGGTGTGACGATTTAGTAATACTACTGACCTATCTCTGATGTAACACTGCATTTGGCGTGATGATTAAGTAATACTACTAACCTCTCTCTGATGTAACACTGTATACTACTAACCTATCTCTCATGCAACACTGTATTTGGCGTGACGATTTAGTAATACTATTAACCTATCCCTGATGTAACACTATATTTGGGGTGATGGATGATTTAGTAATACTACTAACCTATCTCTGATGCAACACTGTATTTGGCGTGATGATTTAGTAATCCTATTAACCTATCTCTGATGTAACACTGTATTTGGCGTAATGATATAGTAATACTTCCAACCTATCTCTGATGTAACACTGTATTTGGTTTGACGATTTAGTAATACTACTAACCTATCCCTGATGCAACACTGTATTTGGTGTGACGATTTAGTATTACTACTGACCTATCTCTGATGTAACACTGTATTTGGCGTAATGATATAATACTTCAAACCTATCTCTGATGTAACACTGTATTTGGCGTGAAGATTTAGTAATACTACTAACCTATCCCTGATGTAACACTGTATTTGGCGTGATGGATGATTTAGTAATACTACTAACCTATCCCTGATGCAACGCTGTATTTGGTGTGACGATTTAGTATTACTACTGACCTATTTCTGATGTAACACTGTATTTGGCGTAATGATATAATACTTCAAACCTATCTCTGATGTAACACTGCATTTGGCGTGAAGATTTAGTAATACTACTAACCTATCCCTAATGCAACACTGTATTTGGTGTGACGATTTAGTATTACTACTGACCTATTTCTGATGTAACACTGTATTTGGCGTAATGATATAATACTTCAAACCTATCTCTGATGTAACACTGCATTTGGCGTGAAGATTTAGTAATACTACTAACCTATCCCTGATGTAACACTATATTTGGGGTGACGATTTAGTTATACTACTAACCTATCTCTGATGCAACACTATATTTGGCGTGACGATTTAGTAATACTACTAACCTATACCTGATGTAACACTGTATTTGGCGTGATGATTTAGTAATACTACTAACCTATCTCTGATGTAACACTGTATTTGACGTGATGTATGATTTAGTAATACTACTAACCTATCCCTGATGTAACACTATATTTGGGGTGAAGATTTATCTATACTACTAACCTATCTCTGATGCAACACTATATTTGGCGTGACGATTTAGTAATACTACTAACCTATCCCTGATGTAACACTGTATTTGGCGTGATGGATGATTTAGTAATACTACTAACCTATCTCTGATGTAACACTGCATTTGACGTGATGGATGATTTAGTAATACTCCTAACCTATCCCTGATGTAACACTATATTTGGGGTGAAGATTTATCTATACTAATAACCTATCTCTGATGCAACACTATATTGGGCGTGACGATTTAGTAATACTACTAACCTATACCTGATGTAACACTGTATTTGGCGTGATGGACGATTTAGTAATACTACTAACCTCTCCCTGATGTAACACTGTATTTGGTGGGACGATTTAGTATTACTACTGACCTATCTCTGATGTAACACTGTATTTGGCGAATGATATAGTAATACTTCCAACCTATCTCTGATGTAACACTGTATTTGGCGTGTTGATTTAGTAATACTACCAACCTATCTCTGATGTAACACTGTATTTGGCGTGACGATTTAGTAATACTATTAACCTATCTCTGATGCAACACTGTAATTGGCGTGATGATTTAGTAATACTATTAACCTATCTCTGATGTAACACTGTATTTGGCGTGATGGATGATTTAGTAATACTACTAATCAATCTCTGATGTAACACTGTATTTGGCGTGATGATTTAGTAATACTATTAACCTATCTCTGATGAAACACTGTATTTTGCGTAATGATATAGTAATACTACCAACCTATCTCTGATGTAACACTGTATTTGGTGTGACGATTTAGTATAACAATGTTTTACACTGTTACCATATATTTGCTGCCAACGTTTAATAAAAGCGCGTCTTACTTTTTTGCTATGTACCCATCGAAACTGACGGCACTAAACCTTTTTTTGGCTACGTACGTATTTCCACGCATGCGTAGTCGCTTGGACCCCAAGTTTCGTTTGTTTGACAGATGAGCTTTCCTGGGTCTTTGGACGCTTCAGATGTGTACCCAAATTCACAGTCATATGTAGCAGTACACCCCGTGTAGTCCAGCAGGATAGCATTCGATAGAGCTTTGGGTAGGACGCATTCTGAAAAATATAGAGATGAATAATGAAAGTACCTTGTTTTATTTTCCCACAAAACTTTCAAAACAAAACACATGCGCCAAACACAAAGTTTTGGCTTGCGTAAGTGTATAGGTCTTAGTCTATCCTTAATATAACTAACAAGCCCATATCTCGTGTAGTCCATCATTGTGCTGCAAATATACAAAAGGCTTGCAAATGATATTTTTTGTAACAATCACGGGAAAAGTTACATGATTTGCTTACCTGTGCTCTTGTTGGCCCCATTGATGTTTCCTGATCCACTGCTCAGAGTCTTGGAGAACATATAACAAATTCCACCACTCGGACCGTCATATAGGAATGAGCCACAACTACATCCGAGCTCCATACAGGCAGACGCACATCTCAGTTTGGTTTTGATGCCAGTTTTCTGTGCCCACAGCAGGTCTATGTTTGCGGACACAGAAACAGCGAAGATATTTTGAAAGTTCCTTAAAACCATGTCTTCCTTTGGCCCGGTTGCTTCTGTAATGAAATATTTATATATATACATATAAAATGTACAAAATTGAGCAGATAAAGAGGATAAAACTGTCGTTCTTTAAAGCTTTAAAAAGCGCATCACCAAACGCTGATGGTCTAAAAACAAAAACATCTGGGCCCGTATTCATGAAACCGTTCTCATGCTCAAGTATGGAATTTGTGCTTAAGCCGAATTTCTTGTTCCCGTTATAAACTCATAAAAAATTGGGTTTTTTCAATGATTTCGGCCGAAACATTGAAGAGACTTAAAGTTTAAAACTGTTTTCAAAGTTTACATTTGACTTTTTGATCGTTTGTCAAGATTTAAGCGAGTTACAAGAAAGTAAGTTTGAGCACAGAATCCATGCTTGAGCATGAGAACGGTTTCATGATTACGGGCCCTAGTACTGCCGAAAGACATTGCTATGAGTAGGACAACACCAGGTTCTGCCAAAAGATAATGTATTGGATGGCAGGCTTGTATCAGGCAATGACATGGAGGAATGTGCATTTTCTATTCGTTACTAAGCTCAACATTTTATTTCAGATACAAGTCGGTTTGTTTTCATTTTACTTGGGTTTCATATCCACTCAATTCGTTCACGTAACACAAGCAACCATACCCTATATATTCCAAACATAGTCCAAAAATTGGATAGCTGACTCCCTAGCATCTTTTAGTTTATTCATAGATAAACTTTCTGCATAGAGAAACTGTTTTTGTCAAAAGGTCTTACGTTAGTTCGTATTCCTAGAATTATTTTCTTAAGAGTTGCACTTTGTTCCAGTCGCTTTCAAAAAAGTCGAACTCAGATGATTACGTATGCAATTACATGTTTTCTAGTGGTATTTAGCACAACCATCAGACACTACACCTAGAAAACTATTAATGATGTTCAATTATCTAAATCCCTCCTGTGTACGACGAAAACGCAGTAGTGCCAGCTACACATAATTTCTGATTTTTTTTTTTTTATTTTGAAAATATTTTAAGAGTGTGAGCTTACTCTCAAATGCAAACCAAAACTAGAGGGGGAGAAAGAACTTATATGATGAAGGTTGTGACGACGGTTATTGGTGTCAGTTGATGAAAAATAATCACGAAAGTTTAATTTAATAAATTAAAAGTACATACCAACTGATATCGACGCTGCTGCTATCCATAAAAACGTGATGGAGAATCTCGCCATGATGGATTTCTTGTCACCTGGGCACGAAGCACGACCCGGTTTGCGTACTAGATACGAGATGTGGTCCAGGGAAGAGCTTGTAGGGAGACTGCACGCAGTGTTTAATGTGCATCCAATGGAAAGGTTAGTAAAAACATGAAGCATAAAGCGCTTGTATTATTTCATCGGGAGTATGTTCACATCAGCTCCGAAGCTAATTTGTGATAGCTCCCTTCAAACATTTTTAAATTAAGAAGGGGTGAAATGCTGTTTGATTTTTCAGTTTTCAAAAAATGATACTATTTAAAAGAATGTATGACTTTTTAAGCATAGAAATCCCCTTGTTGCAATCCCGTTAAATGTTAAACAATAATAAGATGACGAAGCGTAATAGAAACATTGTGTATGAACTAAATCTTATGGTAGCGCCTTTGAAGGATATCTTGTAATAAGAAGAGCAGAAAACTATCCTGTTCAAGGAGTAGAATTGGTGAAAATTAAAAGGTTTTATGAAATATTTGCTGACATATAACTTTAAAAGAAAAGCGAAATACAAATTCTTTAAACTCCAAACTAATTTTAAAGATATAATGAGACATTGCACAATTATATGATATTACCTTGAAATGGACAAAACACGCAAGGAAATTATTAACATTAGGTAACAAGATAAGGAAATCAATAAAATAAAACATACACAACGATCACAAGCAGAAATTCCAGTTAATGTTGATTTGAATTCCTAAAATCAAAACACAATCCGCAAAAATCTTATACGACAGTCATACGCTAGATTTTACACATAGAACAAACCAATCTTCTGCGTTCATGTCAAAGTATATAGTATTGCTATGTTAGGAAATAAATAAATGTGAAGGTATTGATAAACAGTTATCTATTCGTTTATTATTACATACTGATCGTATGTTCAATGTATCTTAAATTATTAAGTAGTCGATATATGGATGACTAGGAAACAGTTGTACTACCTCGACAATTAACGCGTAGGACGCAAGGTGGTGGAATAGTCATGTTTGTACGCAATACCATAGCCTAGTTTGTTGATGTAGGTGAGGCTTTGTTTGGTACCATTATTCCGGTAACAGTTGTTGGTATTTACATATATTCCACCCAGCTCTTCTAATTATTACCAGTTATATGAAAGTGATATTTTCCAAGTTCTAGAAAATATGTTAATGGAATTTTCTGTACATAAAAATATGAGGGTGATTGGCGATTTCAATAGTCGTACTCGTACTTCTAATGATTTCAGTTCTTTGGATAATTTACATGAGCGGATTCGTTTACATATTGAATCTGTGTCAAATTATACTAGCGATAGTGATGAGGAAAGCCTGTTACCAGTTAGAAAAAAAACTGACCCAGGAGCTAACGAATTTGGCACTAGGTTACTTAATCTTTGTAAGTCCTCGGGTCTTAAAATTTTGAACGGGAGAGATGCTCAAATGGAATGAGTATAATCGATTACCTTTTAATACCCTTCTGTCTTTTACACATTGTTAGAAAATCTAAAGTGTGCAATTTTACTGAATTCTCTGACCACGCACCTTTACATGTGAAAATATATTCCATTACTCTTTCTAAGGGATCAGAATTAGACGAGCAAGACTTGGAGTGTAGCCCATTATTTAAATGGAGGGATGAATATAAATATCAGTTTATGGAATCTGTAAGAGTTCATTCAGATAGTTTAAAGGGCTCTGTTGTTATTACTGAAGAATTAAATCAAGACTCTATTGATACCTGTGTTGATACTTTTACAAAGTATTATGGAACCTTTTTTCTAAAGAAATCACCTGATATTCGTATGGCCAACGCCACGTCCACTGGTAATGTAAATTACACTGTTGCCAGTAGTGAAAATAAACCCTGGTTTAATGATCGTGTACAATTTTTGGGTAAGCAATATTTGGATGCCTTGGAGAGTTTTAATAGTAACATATGTTATACTACTCATGCTGTTCTTATTAGTAAGAAAAAGGAATATACAAAATGGAAGCTAAGTTTAAGAGGCAATACTCAAGTACTGAAGGTGATATGCTGGAACATATGAGAAAACACAACCCTAGGTATTTTTACAGAAAGTTAGCTAAGAAAAAAAGGTAATTAGCCATTATTGACAGGCGAGCAACTATATGATCATTTTAAAAATGTGTCAAAACGATGATGCCTCAATTCAACAGGACAACATTTTCATTGATAAAGATATTGTGTATTATGAACTAGATGCACCGATTCTTTTTTCATGAAGTAAGATCTGCTATTCGAAATCTGAAATGTTGCAAAGCGGATGGACTGTGTGGTTTGTTAAATGAATGCTTTATTAACTGTGAAGAATTACTCCTTCCCATTTTATGCATGTTCTTTATCAATATCTTCGAAGCCGGGTGTTTTCCTGCAAATTGGTCATCTGCTATTATTATTCCTGTTCATAAGAAAGGTATACGTAATGACCCTAATAACTTTCGAGACATAAGTTTAATAAGCTGTCTTAGTAAACTTTTTACTTCTTTACTTAATAAACGTATTTTAGATGTTTGTACAAGATATGATATTTTAACAGATGCTCAATTCTGAGTACGAAAGATGCTATATTTGCATTACATACTATTATAATAAAAACATTGTCATCTAGGAAAAGATTGTATGGTTGTTTTGTAAATTTCCGCAAAGCGTTTGATTTTGTCGACAGGTTAAGCTTATGGCGCAAGTTGACTAGGCTTGGTTTTCGAGGGAAAATGTTGTCTGTTATTAAGTCCTTTTATAAATCAGTCAAATCCTGTGTTTCAATTAATGGGAATGGCTGTAACTTTTCTGAAAACAATGTCGGTTTATTGCGAGGGGAAATTTTGTCACCATTACTGTTTTCATTTTTTATCAATAATTTTGAAACGTCCCTTATTGAAAACGGTGCAACAGATTACGACTTCGGTGAGTTAAGTTTGTTTCCGGGGTTTTTCGGAATCTGTTCAGAGCCTGTGCACAGACTCTTCTTGATAGCCTTTTTGAATACTCTACAAAATGGAAGTTAACATAAACTCAGAAAAAACAAAGATAGTTGCTATAGTTGTTTTCAGAAATGGAGGTCGTATTTAGGACTGTGAAACATGGACACATAATAATAATAAAATTGAAATTGTAGACTAATTCAGCTATTTAGGCGGAAAACTTAGATTCAATTATAAATGTAATCTTACTCAGAAGCAGCTTGCTGACCAAAGTCGTAAGGCTAGGTTTGCTCTGTTTTCTAACTGGTCTAACTTAAGCCTCATTTTTAAAACTTGACTACTTTTATTTGATACTTACGTTTGTAGTATACTGAGTTATGGCTGTAAAGTTTGGGGGTTTTCAAAGGGTTTGGATATCGAAAAGGAGCACTTATATTTTTTTAAGAGTATTCTGAAAGTTAGGAAATCTACGTGTAATGCAATGGTGTGTTTTTAATTGGGACGCTACCCATTAGAATGTTTCAGGAAGTATAGAATGATAAAAGACTGGTTAAAATTAATAAACACAAAAAACTGTATTCTGAGCACCTCGTATCCTGTTTTAAGTAATAGTAGAACAGGTGATTGTTTTAACTGGGTAAATAACGTAAAACACAATCTATTTTCTCTTGGCTTTGGTGATTTTTAGACAAGACCCTGTACTTATAATCATAGAAGTATATTGTTCCTAATAAAGCAAAGAACTGTTGATCAAAGTCAACAATACTTAACTGGTTCACTTGAGTTTTCAACGAAATATATTCTATATATGCATTTGGTAATCGCTTTTGCAGTATTATTTGACACATTATATGCCTAATAAATATCGAATTGGTTTATCGAAATTACGCTTGTCCGCTCATAAATAAGCTATTGAGACAGGGCGTTATAATAATATAGCGAGAGAACAATTTGTACAACTTTTATGTGTGGACAATATGAAAATTCTTCGTAAATTAGGCAGATATGTTATTGAGGCAAATAAAAGAAGGAGTTTAGAGTAAATAGTAATTCTTGCTAAACTACTTATGATCATGTATAGTCTGCTGTAATGTATCATTCGTGAATGTTAAAAACCATTGCATGCATAATGATAATAGCAAAATAACTAACAAATTACCTTGATAATGTGCATTGTGTTATGTTACTGTATGATGATGCTGATACACGTTTGTTGTTGATGATGATGATGATGATGATGATGATGATGATATGATGATGATGATGATATGATGATGATGATGATATGATGATGAGGTTGATGAGGATGATGATATGATGATGATGATGTTGATGATGATGATGATGATGATGATGATGATGATGATATGATGATGATGATGATGAAATAATGATGTGGGTTGATGATATGATGATGATGATGATGATGATGATGATGATGATGATGATGATGATGATATGATGATGATGATGATGATGATGATGATGATGATGATGAGATGATGATGATGATGATGATGATAAACGGGAATTATGTTGATGATGTTGATTGTGACAAATTATTAAACTATAGGGTGTACTGTGCGCATTTTTATAACTAGTATATGATTGATGTATTTAATATGCCCATCTTTGTAATATACATTTTATTCTACACCAATAAGCTGTAAAATTTACGGAATAAAATAAACTGTGGTTCCAAAAAAACCACTAATTCCTTTCATATAAAAAAAACATAAGCTTGATTAAGGTGATTAAATTGATATCTTGGACGATTATATCAGATTAGCAGTAATTGTGATACAGTCTTGATGATGTCATGCAGGTGAGAAGATGAAAATCACAAACGATATCGATGTTGTATGTTAAAAACGACAAATAACAAATATAAAAGACAATGGAATCCATAACGATTCATTGAAATATATTACCTTACATAGCAGATGATTTCATGTTTTTACCTTGCATTGTTAGAACAAGAGGCCAAGAGGGCCTGTATAGCTCACCTGGATAATAAAACAACCATGGGAAATTATTCGTATTACATAAAAT